ATCGATGTAATCCTCGGCTTCGCCAAGGAGCAGGACTCTCTGCTCCAACACCACGGCGTCCACCACCACCACCACCACCCCCAAGACGGCCAGCGCAGGCAGAAAGCCACGCGGGAAAACTTGCAACTTCCTGACAAGCACGATCCGTACGGGCATCTTTCGGAACTGGCCGACAACTCCCAACAATCCTCCTATCATGGTGAGCGCTGCATATCGGAGGAATAAAGTCATGTGAAACCATGTGCTTCACTTCCGTTTAGGAACGTCGTGGGGCAAATCTAAGAGGGTTGCCGTTTTTGGTCTATGAACCCTCGGAAGGCTCTGATGCAGGATTAGTCTACGACAATACAAGTGTATTTAAAAAGAAATCTTAAAATAATAATAAAAATTGATTAAAAACAAGATCACAAAAAAAAAATAAAAAGGAAAATATATTTGCAACAAAATGATGATTCTTTTTTTGGGTGGACTCCAACTAAAGTGAACACTTTGACTCTAGTGCCAAAAGGTTAAAATTCTTTAAAAAAATTATTAGATTGATTTGAAAATAAACACACATAAAAATGTGTCTTTTGATACATTTGTAACTGTAAAACTATTAAAAATTATTCTTTGTAAAATCATCATAAGGCCGGCAAACTTGGGAACACGGACTATGGTGACAAGAGTTCTTTGAAGCAAAATTGGAATACTGGCATAAAACAATGTGTCAAAAAAATGCAAGTAGATACACTTTTTAATTATTATTATCATTATTTTCCCATTGGCTGGGAGGAGTCACATGATTCTACTGCCAAGTGAAACATGTGATGTCAAATGTTTGGAGTTGAATTTAAATATGGTTCTTTGCTATATGAAATCATACAAAAATGTTTTCAATATCTGTACATTAAAAAATAAAAATAGCACAAATAAAAGGTTTTAAGAATATTTGGGACATTCAAACTTTTTTTGCATTCATGAACCTTTTGAATCTGGTTCCAAAAGTGGTTTGATGAAAAAGTGGCAGATTGTATTCCTAAACAGCAAATGCAAGGCAGTCGTCGGCCACAACGTGTCCCAAATGTTCCATTTTCCCGTCATAGGTAATGACGGGAAAATACGATTTAGCGTATCCTGTAAAAAGCGGTATTCAAAATCTCGCTCGTAAAACAGACAATCAAAATGCGCTGCGTCATCCCGTTTGGGCTGTTTCAAAATATTTTGGTTCTCTAATCGAGCTACTGTGACATGATGTCATCATCACAAGTCGGTCCCTTGTCCCGTCTTGTCTTAAAACGTCTTAGTTAGTTTTTAGCGGACACAATGCGGACTGCAGGGCAGGATTAGAGTGGGATTTAACTGCTAGGTAGC